ATAATTAGTGACAATTTTAAATAATAATTTGTTAAAATATGTAATATATATATATATACTATTATCTAGTCAATTTATTATAATAAGAATGTATTTTAAAAATAGTTGTAAGTATGTATTTAAAATAATAAGAATATGATTTTAGACAGTTATAAACTAATAAATGAAGTGTACTTTTTGGTGTTTTAAAATTGCTAAAAAAATTAAAAGAAAATTAAATAAAGAAACATTTTTTTGGGGGTTTAAAAGTTCCAAAAAAATGTTAAATAAAACTAAACAAAGATGCATTTTTTGTGGTTCCAAACCAATAGTGAAACTCAAGTAAAATTCAAATGCATTTTTTGATGGCTTTAGATTGCCAGAAAGTGATCTATATTTTTTAGTGGAAAAACTAGCACTTAAATAATACCCGTTAGAAATCAATTTTTGGTGAGTGTAAATTCGGTGATTATTTATAATGTTAGAAATGCCATTTGTGACAATTTTTAACCATAAAAAACTATAAATTTAACCACCATAAATCATAATTTATTTTTTAGTGATGAGATAAGCCTTTTCATAAGGCTAAAACGAGCATTATATTAATGTATAGAAACTTAAGGTTATATTAAATATACCAGGCCTTTACAATGTATACGCAAATGCTTTTATCCCACTTATATAAATTATAATTATATTTTTGATGATGATTTATGTACCATGTGTGTTAAACCATAAACATGTTAAAATGTACTACATTCTTTATCATTATATTAATCAGTTGATAATTATCAAAAGTCACAAAGATAATTCATATTATTTGAAGAAAATAGACTCTTAATATTGTTAAAAAATGAACAAAGGAATTTCTAATACAGAAGGGTGCGAAGTAAAATTCTCGCTAATAATAGTAATCTTGATGGAGTCACATTAATTTTGCCTAAGACCGAGTCCAAGCTCTTCAACTAAAACAATCATAAGCTGATCATGTCATCTTTACAATCATGAGTTGATCAACTACAAGCTTTTGAGCTCTTCACTACAGCGATCACAAGCTGATCACTTCGCCATTACTACGACAAGTTGATCACTTCGTCATTACAATCACGAGTTGATCAACTATAAACTTCTGATTAGTTTATCATAATTGATCATGTCGTCTTTATAATTACAAGCTGATAAACTACAAGCTTCCAAGCTCTTCGCCATTATGATCACAAGTTGGTCACATTGCATTTACAATTACAAGCTAGTCAACTACAAGTTTTTGAGCTCTTCACCATTACAATCACAAGCTAATCATTTCCCCATTACGATCGCAAGTTAATCACTTCGTCATTACAATTACAAGATGATCAACTACAAGCTTCTAAAATCTTCAACTAAAACAATCACAAGTAGATCACCACAAGCTTTTGAGCTCTTTGCCATTACAATCACTAGCTAATCAACTACAAACTTTTGAGCTTTTTGCCATTACAATCACAAGTTGATCAACTACAAACTTTTAAGCTTTTTGCCATTACAATCACAAGCTGATCACTTAGCCTTTACATTCACAAGCTAATTAAATACGAGTTTTCGAGCTCTTCAACTAAAATGATTACAAGCTAATCATGCCGCCTTTATGATCACAAGCTGATCAACTATGAGCTCTTCACCATTAAATCACGTCGCTTTATGATCATAAGCTAATCAACTACAAACTTCTGAGCCCTTCTTCTTAATGATTAAACGCTAATCATTTAAGAACTTTGAGCTTATCATCTTAACGATTACAAGATAATCACTTATAAGAACTTGAGCCTATTATCTTAAATGATTGCACATTATTCACTAACTTATCAATTTTAGCGAGATAAGCATGTACAAGCAAGTTGATCATTATTGCATGTAAACTTACTATCTTTGGCAAATATAAATCTTACTTGCAAAATATGTAAATCACTTATGCATGCACAACACACTTCAATCCTCATACAAAGTCTTTTCAAATTTCAAGTTGGATGACCTACCTTGACATTGCAAGAAATGAAGCGACCAAACACTCACAACTCCCTCTTTCTAAAGAGCTTAGAGTTCAAGGGACTTATGTACTGCCCAACTAAGATCAAGTTACCCTTTTGCTCACCCATGTTAAGCCTCCAACCCATCATCATGAAGCAAAACCTTAGGCGATTAGCTCCTTAACGACTAAGGGAATATATTCACATAATTATCTCCTAAAGATCCTAGAATATCTTAATCAAACACATTATCTGTATCATTGATAAGAAAATCTCTTCATTAAATAGGCAATATCCTATCATTAATTGATAAGATACTCCTCTATTTTGAATATAGAAATATTAGGCTTAATGGTGTTAATTAAGCACCTATTTAAGGGATACTGGGTATCACTCTAACTCCAACTCATACTCTATAACCTAAATTCTTCTCTAACTTGAGTGTTAGTCCCTTAGCCTCAATTAACTTAAGAGGGGGGGTGAATTAAGTTTACAAAATTTCCTCTTAAAAAAAACTTTTCCAATTACTTCTTTATCAATTTATTTCCTTAGACAAATTTGAATGTAAAGAATAAATGATGATTCAAACTACACAATTATAATTAATAACAAGAAATTAAAAGTGTAGGGAAAGAATAATTGCAAACTTGATTTTATACTGGTTCGGCCAATCCTGCCTACATCCAGTCCTCAAGTCTCCCACTTGAGATTTCCACTACTCTTGTAAACCTTACAAGAAAATGAATCCTCCAACACCTCGGAACTCCCTTTCCTTGTGTTGAGATTCAAACACCAACAAGGAGAAAAACCCTTTCTCCTTTACAGATCCAATGATCTATTCAGTATTACAGAATGACTCTCTTGAAGAGTGGATATTACACTTTCATGATCTTTGATGAACTCTTTAGAGATTTTGCAAATGATTTTGGCCAAGTGATTTGTAAAGATAATTTTTTACAATTGAGTTTGTCACCTTTCTCTGAAAAATTATAGGTATTTATAGACAATTGTATCTTGAGTTATGTCTTTTCATGAAGAGTTGTAACTCTCTATAATTTTTCAGAACATAGGCTCTGGTAATCGATTACAAGACTTGGTAATCGATTACAACGGTTTAAGTTCAAAATGTTTGAAACGTTGTATAGTTCAAATTCGAATTTTAAAATTTCTCTTCTGGTAATCGATTACAGTCAGTGGTAATCGATTACCAGAGTGGTAATCGATTACCAGAAACATGTCACTTGTTTTGGCTTATGAAAACCTAAGATATAAAGAGCTTCTATTTTCCAGTTAAAAATATTTATTTAATCTTTTGAATACTCTTTTTACTTTCTTTTTAAACAACTTATTCTTATATTCAAAAGTATTAAGTTTAGGTTTTCTTGAAATTTTTATTTTAATGGCCAAGTCAAATTTGCAAATTCTAAAAGTTCATTTTACATACTAAGCTAAGCAATCAAGACTTATCTAGTTATTACTTGAGATCTTGCTTCTTGATCAGCTTGCTTTAACTTGACCTTTATTTTCTTCCACATTGAGTGTTGAAGTATCTTTGCAATGTTTTCATTATTGGTGTTGGAGCATGAAAGCCATCGTCGCTCTCATTGAAGCACTTGTAGAACCAAATAACTGCATGTATGAAGTAGAAAAACACAATATTTAGATGCAAGTAATATTAAAATCCAAATTTTCAACTTCAATCAAATCCATAATACTTATAATCTCACTAGTAGCATGTCGTTTCTCTACATATGTATGTGGTGTCATTTGAATTGCATAAAGTATCTAAGAGAGCTTTACTATATAGCTTGATAGTGATGCACTTTGAAATTGAAATGTTTGTGAAGAAATGATCTTGTGCTCACCTTCTCTGTTAAGAGTCCCACAAGTTGAATATGAAACTTAATGTGATACTTAAACTTTGAAGCTAGTCATAATAATTGGTACTTTCATTAAAAGTTAGATTACTAAAAAAGTTACTTATAGACTAGTTTAAGGTGCAAATCGACTAGTTATAAGTGACTGAAGTCATCAAAAAGAAAATAACTACTATCAAGTCAATGTAATTGAAACTCATGCCAACTTAGCATTTAGGAGGCTAAATATTTTTATTAGGATAATTGATATCAGAAAAATCAATCAACATGTTGGACAAATCATTCAAGATATTGGACAAATCATTCAAAATATATTATATTTAAACTTTTTATATCTAGTTATAATCTTTATAGTCCATTAACATTTTTAGAAGTAAAAAATATATAACAAAAATATTTTTTTACGAATTAAAACTAACTTATGTATAACCCCAAGCGTGTGGTTCAGCGGTAGGGGTTGATCCACGCTTAAGCAAGGTCAGGGGTTCGAATCCTGCCTTGTGTATGCAGCCGCGTTAAATCTTGATGCCAGCTATCCCACCCTTTGAGGTGCCTCCAACGTAGCGAGGAGATTAGTCACTGCTGTCGGCGGTGGATACTCCAGGAACGAACCTAAAAAAAACTAACTTATGTATAAATCTATTTTATAATTTTTTTTAGAAAAATTATATAAGAGTTTCAATAAATTAACTTTTACATAAATTAATTTCAGTATATTTTATATTTTTTAAAAATATTTCTTAATAAGTTAATTTGTTTCCTACATTCATTCAAACGGTGAAAAATACGTAAAGAAACAATTAAGGAAGAAAGTGGGGAGAAGGGAGTGCAAGAAATTTTTTTAAGCAGTTTGATGTGCCTTTCATTTTAGTCTTTTATTTAAGCAGTATCAATCTGTACTACCCAAGAGGTCATGGAAAATACAATAAAACGTTTTTTCCTTCTCTGCACCTGAACCAACAGTGATTAAATTACTATTAATTGCATCGTTACATGAAACAACAGCGCATAGATAATTAAAAATCGATTACACTTCGTTACATGAAGCTGGTCCATTTTACGTCTATAACTAGTTTCTTATAAAAAAATATGAGGTACTAATTCCACCATTACAAAAATAAAATAAAATGATTTCACATTTTACACAAACTACATTTCTTTTATTAATAAAAATCATAATAATGACAACAGAAATCAAATATAAGACTATGATCATATGACCAGAACTCGTACACATTTTACACTCAATTTCATATACTAAGATAACCAACACCATATGAATGAAAACTCCAACGACAATGAATATACAATGTGAACATTACAACTAACATAAATGATGCATGCTTGGTTACAAGTATGCATTCAAGATTTAGTGGATGCTTCTAAGGAACGCACGTAGTTGATGCCAAAGCTGAAATATTCAACCACGGTTTCCCTTGGTGGAATGCAATCTTTGATAGGTGGAGTCTGAATGAAGTTGTGGCTCCATGCATGAAGAGATGGGAACCTCTCAGCAGTGAGTAGTTCAATCTCTCCAAGCTCTTCTAGGACATTGAGCCAATGAGACATCCACCCAACTACAATGTCAAGATAACCAATCTTCTCCCCACCAAAATACTTTTTCCCTTCAATTTCCTTCTCAATAAATGCAAGTGACTCTAGTGCAGCATCTATGGCTTTCTCCTTCTCTTCTCCTTGGGCCACAGTGGCTCCCCATACACCAAACACACACTGTTTCCAAGAAAATAAGCTTATATCATTGAGCTTGATGTATATATTTCTTGTAAAATCATGCATGCAAGAAAAAGGCTACAAGCCTAATCAAAATATAATAGAATGACATTAGAATATCAGCAACATCACATGTAAGAAAAATAAGTTATATTTAAGTGTTTAATTTACATGATTTTGTATGCTTTTGAAAGTGTTATGGTAAGAGTTTAAATAGAAAAGACATGAAGTGGTTCATTGAGGACAATATAAAACTCATAATTAAGTTAAAAAAATAAAGCATCACTGGTCTATGATTATAACTTGATTTTTTTTACATAAATGATTTTTAATTAAATTTACAAACAATAAAAAATTATATAGACTTTAAAATATTTAATTATGAGAATTGGAAAAATCTTAACTTCTAACTGTATTTAGTGCTACTAAATTGTGCAATAATTTTTCATAATGTTGAGTTGTAACCAAACAATTACTAGCTTAAGGTTGTGGTAAAGCCAGTGACTTCTCATGGGAAATAAGGTCCAAACTCCAAACATACATCAGTAAAGGCAGTGAAGGAGAATCTCTTACATAAAGTATATATAACACCTATAATAAATCAAAATTTAAGATTCTTTTAAAACAGGTTTAATCATCTTTTAAAACTGGTTTTAAAACAGGTTTCTAGTGACTACAATTTTATAAATTTTATGTTCTAATTCCTATAGTTAATAGTGTTATATTTTAATTCATGTATATATCATTTTTTTTAAAATTTTTTTTAGTCTATGTAGTTTCATAAATTTCACCTTTTAAGTCCAATAATAATAAATGATAGAGACTAAAAAGAAGCAAAATTAATGTGAGTGTTTTAAGAATAAGTCTTGATATTCTACACCAAATTTCAACAATCCAATTATTAAATTAAAATTTTATAATAAATAGATAAATCAACAAATTTTTATCATATTTTAAAATTATTTGATACTTTGATATATTAATTTAAATCAATGATTATTTATAAAAATATATTTTACGTTAGTTAAAATTTGTGTAACAAATTATAAATAATTTTCAGATCTTACAAAAATTTATAAACTTATGTATCCATGAAAATTTTTCAATTCAATTATTAGATCATTTAAATTTAATATAAATAATAAGTTATTGAATATAATAATTCCACCGACACTTATTTTTAGGATAAGTGGTTATAAGAAATCAGATTATTTTCATTCTAGCACTACAAGCTTGGGAGTACATCCAATGGGAAGCTTACACACACACATAGACCAGCCACACAACTAAACACAACATAGAAATAGAAAATAGCAGAAGTACAATAGGAGTCTATCTCCAGTAAGCATCCAGAGTAGATCTAGATCTCAACTAAAAAAGAGTCGCCGGTTTGTTTTCTTGGCAGGTTATCCTCACGGTAAGTTCCTCTATATATATTAATCCAAATGAAATATTTTAACTATAAAGACAAAAAATAAAGTTTATAAAGCTACAAAGATTAAAAAAAAGTAATTAAACCTTAAAATTAAGATCAACTTTGTGTTATGCTTTTGATTGGTTTGGGCTACAAGCACCCACACAACACAAGAATTGCTACAAAGAAACAAGTACATATATTGAGGATCATAGTGTGTGTTTGTGGGTACCTTGTCATCAATAAACTTGGCCCAGAAACGAGCCTGTGCCCTCTCATAAGGGTCTAGTGGTAGCAAAGGGTTCTCCTTCCATGTCTCATCTATGTATTCAAGGATCACAAGTGATTCAGCAATTGGGTTGTCATGGTGTAGGAGCACTGGGACTTTCTTGTGGGCTGGGTTAGACTGAAGAAGCAAAGGACTCTTATTTGCCAAGTCTTCTTTTAAGTACTCATATTCCACACCCTTTATCCTTAAAGCCCATTCAATCCTTGCACAAGGGAAGCTTTGAGGTGTAGCAATCACCTTCACTTCTCCCATTCTTTTGCTAAATCTTCAAGACCCTTGAGTTTAATCTGATTCAAGTGCCTCATCCTTTATGTTTTGTACCTTTTATACTGATTCTCTTGCAGCCATGTCAGACATGGTAAGGAATTTTTTATTATTTATTATTATTATTATTATTATTTTAAGTAAACATCCACTTCAGTGTATGAATTTGGAAGGTTTCCTATTATTAATTCTTAAAACTCATATCGGGAAAAACTCAAGTCCCACGTTGATTAGAGATTAGGCAATTGAATAGTATATAAGTGGAAAACAACCTTCACTTTACAAGCCGATTTTGTAGGGTTAAGTTAGGGTTAATCCACTATTCTAAAATGGTATCAGAGTCATTTAGATCCACTTTAAATGGGTCATCGTATTGAGAAAAACTCAAGTCCCACCAATCCTAGATCATTAAAAAAAGGTCACACGTGAGGGGGTGTATTGAGAAAAACTCAAGTCCCGCCAATCCTAGATCATTAAAAAAGGGTCACACGTGAGGAGATTAAGCAATTGAATAGTATATAAGTGGAAAACAACCCTCACTTTACAAGTCGGTTTTGTAGGGTTGAGTTAAGCTTAATCCATTATTCTAAGAATTCAGAAATTGTTAAATAAGTATCTAAAATATCAAATAAAATTTAATTAGTTACTCATAGAATATATCTCAACATTATCACTTTAGTCTTTTTTAAGTTTTGAATTGAAATAATTATTAAGTTATATTTTCAGGGACTTATTTAATAATTTCTTAAACGATGAACTAATATGACATCTTCTAAATTCTAGGACCAAATCAGTTTTTAGTTATTTTATTTTATTGAAAAAAAAAATGAATGTTCTCATTAGCTCAGTCAAACAAAATTATCGTAATATAATCTAAATTTTTAAGGCTGACTTGGTGACACGTATTCCACCTTTGTCTAAGAGAAAAGACTTATATATTGAGTAATTGTCTAAAATTGATCATGTATCGTTGAATTTTTATAAAGTTTGACTAGGTAGTTGAAGATTATATATATATATATATATAGCCACAGTGGCTCCGAATATATTGTCTCATATTTATCTAGTTTAACCGAAAGAATCAATCCATCTTAGGTTAGGTGGTTAAAATTGCAAAGAAATGGTCACTGATATTATATATAAAAATATAAAATGCATGTTTGATTAGGTAGTTGAATACGCTAAACGTATGAAATCAGGTTTCCCACTAGTTTTAAGATAAAAGGATTTTGTTGTTAATATGACAATATCTTTCAAAATCAAGGACTAAAACAGATGTTTACTCATAATTACGAGATAGTATACTATTGTGCATGAATAATTTTAAAAATATTCAATAAAAGTTGTTCATTACAATCCATAATTATTTTGCAAATATCAGCTTCAATTTTCTATGACAGCAAACTTGGACAACTAAATGAAGAATACAATAGAGAAAGATGTATATGATTTTAGATATGTATTATGTACCCAATAGTAAGTAGCAACATTTTCTCATCTCCAAAACCATGAAGAAAATTTTCTTCAAAATGTATATATAAAATGGTCAGGAAAAAAAAAAAAAAAAAGCACTCCATTCATGTACGTGAAGATTTGCAAGATGTGAAGGACCAGACATGAAATAAACTTGGTTTTCTCCCCCATACTTCATGGTGACTTCAGCAAATCATGCATTGAACCGGATTGTACATCTTACTGTGAAAACAAAGCCTATTTGTATTTTCACTCTAGCGTCGTTGTTGATAACTTGCATTGTTTGCATTGGTGCTACTAGTTGCACCATAATAAGAAGAGCAAAAGGAAATGCTTTCCTTGTGAGGCTCATTCTGATTGGAGCATATATCCATAATTCCTGTTCTTTGCTTTGGTGTGCTAATAGACCTCATCTTTGCTTTGCTGGATTCAGTAACAGCCATGTAAGTGGGAAAAACTGGAGAATTTGTCACTGAACTCTCATCCCCATTTGAGCTTCTTTTTACAACAGAAAATGATTTCCTTGGAATTGAAATCTTTGGACTTAACCCTTCTTCTTGAAATTCCTTTTTTAGAAAGTTTGAAGGAAGAGTTGGTTTATAAAGCACATCCCAATCACATGTTTCTTTATGTAGCCACTCTCCAAGTGTACGACAACTCTCTCTTTCAAAGTCCATGTTGTGTACACATTCTTCCATTATTTGGGGATTTTTTCTCTCCTAGAAAAGATAAATGCATGGCTATTATTAGACACATGGCATTATAAATACTGTCCTAGGAAATATAAGAAAATAATAGACAGGGAAACTCAGGAAAAAATACCTAGCTTTAGTGGCTACTAGCTAGCTAGTAGTAATGTTTGAAAAGGTAGGTTCTTTTTTTCAGATTACTTGACTTTTTCTTTTATCTTTTCTTTATTTTGTTTCTTTCTCTCTCCATTTCTTTTTGAGTAAAGATGCTGAGATATAATAATATCAAATCAAATTTAGTTTAGTGTTACCCTTTGTGAAGAAGAGTATTGCTTCATGCGCTCTCTTTTGACCATGGCCTCTTGTTTTCTAAACCATATAGCTTCAATGTCTTCTCTTGAAAACAAGCTACAATCCCATGTTCTATGATTATGACATTCAGACTGCAAAAATATTCTTGAGTGGTTAGCCAAGGGAATTGCTTAAACTCAATGTCATTGGTGACTTTATATATTGGCTTATGTTATCAAAAGTCAACACTATTCATTATTCAACCTAACTAACAAATACACCAAGTCAACTAAATTAGGAGGGGAATAAGTTTGAGGCAGGGAATAAGGAAATTTACAAAACTTGCAATTGAACCACTAACAAAGAAGTATGAAATTCAAATCAATGTTTCATTAATTTCTTTATTCATTTCCTAAATCTTTTGAGTTATGTTTCTCATATTTTTCTCTTCTACTTATATAAATGTTACACACTTTACCTTCAGTTCCTTCTCTTCTAACTTTTTCTTTTGCTTTGGACTTTGCTTGATCTTTTCAGCAGTATGGCTGCTTCTTTCCAAAATTTCCATCTGATTTCTTGCATTGGAGTGAAAATTCTGCAGAGTGTTTGACACTTGGCGTCTCACAGCTTGACCACGTATTAGGGCTTGCAGTCTTATAACTCCCTTCAATGCTCTCAATGCTTTCCTAGCCTGTTACATTTCCAGTTTAGAGCGAGTTTAGAATTGTTTAACTCATTGCTGAGTCCACTAAACCACTTTGGTTTGAGTGAATACATTTGAGAACAGAGAATCAAAACTGAAGTTCACAAGTCACAAGACAAATTCTCCATGGAAAAAGAAAAAGTAAATTAGGCCCAATTAAAAAAGCATCATTCCAATACCTCTTTATATGATATAACAGAATATTTGGTTTGCAAATTTTGTAAGTTCTGAAACCAACCTTAACTAGAAACGCTACAAAGAAATAATAGAAATGCATTTGGAAGCAAAAGATAAATTAATACTAATTAATAACTAGACACAATCACCCTTTTTCATTCAGTTCATCCATATGTTATCACCTAAATGGAAAATTATGTTACTAGAAGGAATAGAAAAAAAGGCCGTCCAAAATTGAAATGATTTTACTCTTAACTACTAGTACTATCCCTTTGATTAATTCATCTATGTAAATCCCTTGCAAACTGCTAATCTAAAATTTGGAACATTATGAAAATAGAGTATGAACAAACTTAGCAACAGTTCCTAAGGTTTGATTAATGTTATCTTTCAATCAGAATTGGAGTTTTATTCAGTGATCAACACAGAATAAAGATGCACTCACAAGATGTGCACGATACGCGCTTTGAATCTTGATGGCAGCTAAACTTCTGTCTCCCTTGGAAAGATATGAGTAAGAACGAGAAGCACCTGTGAGCTTGACAACCTCAGCAGCAGCATGTGCAGCAGCAACTGCAGCCTCAGCAGCTGCTGCTGTAGCAATAGCCACTGTCAAAGCATGCTTTCTCTGCTCTGCACTTGCTTCAATCAATGCCCTGTTTGGAGCTGTGATTGTAGGATACTGTTTCTGATTGATCCTTCCAAAACTCCACCCCCATCTCCTTGGCTTCTGAGATTACACCAACGAAATGTTAACCAAAACTAGTACTTACTATCATTAGATGATTCTGAAGTTTGTAAAATATGAAGGGCATGTTCGGATAAACTTTACCAAAAACATTTCTAGGGGAGAAAAATAGAAAGAAAACAGAAGATGGATTTCTCTATAAGTTAAAATTAACTTATGCATAAGCTAAAAATAAGATTTTGGAGAAGTTAACACGAGGGAGTTTCTATAAATTAGCATATGCATAAGTTGATTTTAACTTAAAGAAATTCATTTAATTCTTTCTTCCTATTTTCTCTCATAAAAATGCTTTTCTAGAAGTTTATCAAAACAGACCCAAAATCATGCATTATTGGACACCCCTTACATTGTTGTCCTTTGATTCAGAAGTGAATAGCCTTTTCACCCATCCAAACCAGCTCTTCCTCTTTGCCATGAAGATTTATGACATCATTCAAACCGAATTGTTCAGACAACATTTCTGTTCCTCAAGCACATCCTATATTTGATCTAGAAGAAAGAGAGGGAGAAAAGGTAGTAAGAGTCAAATTCAGAGATTTTAATATACATATTTCATAATTCCTAATAAATAAATAATATGCTCTAGTCATCTCCATTGTATTTTATTTTCTCGACTAGCTGTTCCATTCATTTGTCAACATAAAAGAAACCTACCCCTACAAGGACCAAGAGTACTGATAAACTTTTCTTTTTAACTATCACTATTGGCTCAATAGGACTGAAATATAACCTGAACAGTAAACATATTTTAAATACTTAAGAAAAACACCACATAATATAAAGTGCATTCATTCCACTCAAGAGAATATGTTTCAAGCATAGTCATATGAGTACCAAAAAGTTAGGCCACTTGAAGAAACTAACCTTTTCATAAAACATGAAGAAACAGGATGGCTTAGTTATCCAAGACAGAGAAAATAGTGATTCTAAGGAGACTAAATCCCACTGACATTGATTCACACCCTTATGATGTTTCAAAATTTTAAGTAAATTGATGATTCCCCAAGTGAGATTCTTTGTCCTTTGGGGTGGGGTGTGTCGCAAAATTCGTTGCTTGGTATCAATGTGTTTTGACACTAAGCGCCCTATGTATATATATAAGGAGGAACACTAGCCATACTTTATCATATACACTTTTTCTAACAACTAACATTTCATTTACTCAAAATCACAAATTCTGTACATATTGTATTACATTTAATAAGTTTTTCTTTGAATTAGTGTTAAATTTTTTTAAAAGTTGTGATTTTCAACCGATGTAAAAAATAAAAGAGAAAGTATTAATCACAAAGTGTTAGAGATTGTTGGTAATTTTATTTATTTATTTATTATGTATAATATATGGTCATTGGTCATAATAGTGTGAGAGGGGAGTGCGTTGGGAAAGACATAAGGAAGACTCTTGTAATGATGTGGCCAATGGATTAGGGTCCTTAGAAGACTTGTGGTTACTCAAAAGGCAAACTCCATTCAACTCCATGGGGTCTTTCTTGTCTCTCTTCTATTGCACTTGTCAATTTTATCAAATGCTACGGTCCATTTCAAATGTTTGGTTTCGTCAAACTTACTAAATTGACCATTTGGTTTCATTTTCTACCACCCGGTCCCTCCGGAAGGGGCATGGGGACTGGCTATGGCAGTTAGAACTGAAAATGAAATGCCAAATGGGGACACTTTGAATTGTTAAATAAATGAAGGGAAAATAATTTGTATAACATCACTTTATGATAAAGTTTAGATATAAACTAATAGGCAATGCTATAACCTTGAAGTTGGGTAGTCTTTCTTTCATTGGACCTTTTGAATTTAGAAAGTGTAATAAGGTGAGTAATTGAAGGTACAAACTACAAATTAATAAATTTTATTAATTTATTAATTAATAAAATTTATTAATCATAAGATAAATTTTGTAAAATTATTATTGTCTTTCATTTATTTATTAACTTTTTTAATCTGTATAAAATATTCTAAGAAGATACTTATAAAAAAATAGATAAAATATTTTAATTTTATAATTTTACACCACATATTAATTTGCCACTTAATATTTAACATGTTAACATCATAATAATGTAATAAAATGTCATGTTGATATGGACGTGTTGATGTAACAATATTATAAAATAACTTAAATTATACTTTTAATATTTTATAACATTCATTGTAAAATTTTGATCTTTTATATTTTCAATTTCATAATTTTATTCATCTAATTTTATAAAAATTTACAATTTTGATGTATACACCACTTGTTCTTTTGTGAGCTCGTTTCAAAGATTAAAAGGTAACTAACATCGTATAAACATTCATTTGGATTCTTAAGAAAGTCTATCCTCTTTGATTCCAATTAGTTGAGAAAATTGGACATTGAACATCAATGTCACACTCAGATTTTAAAGATTTGGATTAGTATTAACAGAACTAGAAGCTAGATAATCCTTTTTCCCCCAAACTTTTATTAACGAAAAGGAAATGTTATGATCAAATTTTCATTTTTACATAAAGAAAATTATGATGGTCACAACCAAATGAAGCGTGAAAACATAGACACTCTCTTAAGAAATATGGCAACTAAATGCTTTACCCCTTTTTCCTTTGGTTACATAAATGATTCTCATTAAAATGTGTGGTCTTAGGACCAACACGAGTTCCCATCATTAATTATTTTATTTATCTAACACAAACATGCCATCTGTGTTTATCACATATCACCTTTATAATTCGGACCCATCCTTAGGTTCTTTTTCGAATTGTCATAGTTTAATTGTAACATAAAAGTGTCGCTTTATGCCTAAGCATGAAATTCTTTTCTTGTAACTCAAAACATTGAAATTTCTTTGTCCAATGCTTATCAATTCATATTCATAATGAGCTAGCTCTGACAGTCTGAATTATGTGGAACACGACTATTTGGAGTTTTGTAAGCTTTCCAACTTTTATTTTTTTATTTTATTTTTTATGTTAATGGTTTAAAGTGTTGATCGATTTTATAAATAACTAATATATGTTAGAGAATTCAACTAATTGTGTTTAGTGAAATGTTTTTTTTAAGAATAAAACTTAAGTATAGTTGGTATTATTTCTTTAATGAATTCTGTAATGTATTTAATGTAAATATCATTAATATACATATAGAGTTAATCACTTATATACTGTCAGTGTAAAAAAAATTTTACACTGACAACTAATCAGATCTATTATTAGTATCATGTCATTTGTTTATTTAATTAAATTAAAATAAAAAAGGTACTAGCAACAAATTTGATCAGTGTAAAAAACTTTACACCGACAATATATAAATGATTAACTCATACATATAAGTATATTATGAAAGTTTTGATTAAAAAATAACACCGACTACATATTTAAACAACTTTACGTAAGTTTTTTTTTTTAATTCAAAAAACTCGAACATAATATCTTAATTAAGAAGATCAAGTATACATGGATCAAAAAAACTTATCAATGTAAGATTGTAAGCTTTCTGCTTTCAATCATAGGCTTGGATATCATAACTGATGCTTTCGGTTGAGGGGGCATTTTCTACTCGCATTAATTTGTGGAAGGGGTTAAAACTCATGTAATTTGAGAAATAATATTAATAGCACGTACGTGAGAGTGACCTATCAAATACAATTAATGACGAATTATCATGCAATGTTTGACACATCAATCAACTTAATTTATCAGAACCACCATGGCAACCTGTTACATAGAAACAGTAAAATTGATTAGTGGCCTGAGAACAGTTAGTTACATAGAAAAATGTTGGCGTACTACATGTTTTGACTTTTCAAAATTTGTCATGACATGTGCATATTTTTTTTACACAAATTGGTCCCAATGTACTTGATGTGAGCACGTTTTTGACTTGAGAATTGAGAATTTAAAAGCCTGATCATGGTGGTCCGTGCCCTCAAATAAAAGTCACGAATGCTCATAATTAATTCTAATAAAACCCTTTTTCTTTTCCACGAGTTATCTCTAACAAAATGAGAAGAAGAAGAAGAAGAAAAAAAAGTGTCTTTGGTGTTGTTTCACTGTCCCAACAAGGTATTCATAATAATAAGAAAAGTCTAGCAAACTTTGCTTTACATATGTTATAGCTGCTGAGTTGTGCGTTTCTTTGTACTGGGACAGATCAAACATGTTAATTGAACCAGAAAAGCATTCCCTCATTAATGCAATGGCTTCATTCTTAGTTAAAGTTGATCAATTATATCATTTCGTAATAACAATAATATCTAGTAGCTTTCGCAGCTTATTTTGGACTATTATTATCTAGTAAAGTTCATTGAACTCTCCAAATTATATTCTCATCACGCATTTCATATAGGTCTTGGTTTAAGAAAAACTTTGCTTTTTGCATTATTCTCTCAGGCCTGATATAAGTATGGATCATGGCAATGAACTTTGCTTCAGCTCTCATAATGAAAGTATGCATATAAAAAGGATCAAAGTGTACATGGGTCAACCAATCATATTCGGTCAAAAGAAAATTGACAACATAAGTATGTTGGATAATAAAATCAATGGCCACACATTCTAGCAACTTCTCTGGCTCTTGGGAGTCATACGTTGTTATAAACACGACCCGTTGTAAAATAAGAAAGGAAATTAAAGAGAGAGAGAGAGAGAGTAGTATGTTAGAATTTTTTTAAAAAAAATCATAATATATCTTTGTTAGACTTTGTTATATCTATTAGTGTGAATTTAGATTCATTTGCGTGTCAACCTATTTGAACCATCGAATTAAGATTAAAATGCTTATATTTTGTATCAATAAATCAGACATAAAATATGCATTTGAGATTTGACTTATTTAGGCGAGGGTGATATATATATCCTCATAATGATTGGTGATTAAATTTTTTATTATAAATTAAAAAAATTATCAGTATTAATACAATTTTACTAAAATAATTCTACTCTTTTAATAAATATATTATTTTATTTATAATGATTGAATAATTTATAAATAGATAAATTAGGAAAAGTTTTAATATAACATTAAAAAGTGAGATCATTAAAATGTTTTTTAAATGTTAAAATTGCAACCAATTAAGAAAGGGGAGTTATACGAAATAAAATTTTACCAATGATTTTTAAAGTGGTCATGACAAAAATTACAATTGAATAAAAATATATATATAAGAGAAAAATCAAATATTATCACAGACACGTATAATAGTTTTATACTCTTTAACATTGCCCTATTTAAAAAATAGTTCTAGGTATTATCATTAATTTCTTATTAATACTATAGTATTTTATATTGTATTTTTAAAAGGTAAGAGTTTCATTAGGACATATCCTTCTACTCTTAAGCATTATAAACAAAGGTTTTTAAACAAATAGTAAAATAATAATAATAATAATAATAATAATAATAATAATAATGTTGTAAAAGGATTCATAAGTTCACCAAATGAAAATTATTTAAATAAAAGATAAGTTATTTTTAGCATAAATCCAAAAACAAGACACAAATTGTCCTTTATATCAAATTTCTAACATAAAACAATAAGCTAAAATAATATTTTTCTATAACTAATAAAAACATAAAAACTCTCAATGTCCCGATATCACACTACCAGAGTAAGAACCCAAAACAACCCTTGAAATATTAAGCTTCTAATCTCTCATGCCCGACTTCATATACCTACTTTACTCTTGTAATAGCGACCAATCCATACAAAACAACAAACAATACAAATACAAAGGAGTGAAAATATATTTTGTCCATGTATAACAAATAAGGTATAAGGATAGCACTAAAAAAGACATACATCATAATTAAGTTTCATACATTCATTTATATTCATATCCAACATCCAAGGAAACACTCATCACAATAACATCAATCCCTCTATATTTATTCATCATCAACAATAATCATTCATGTAATCAATTTCAATTATAATATAAAGATATGTACAAAAGCATGTGTTTAACTCTATATGCATGTGATATCAATCTTTTCCTCATTATCAACTCAAGGTAACCTAGGAGCCATGAAATGGAATTACCACACACTAAGTGACTCACTC